AAATCTTGTAGCTCGTACACGTAAGGATTTCGCCAATCGAGAATACGATAAATTTGAAATATTTCCTCGCTCCATTTAGCCTCGTAACCTTTCTCGAAGGCTGCTTTCGCCCTACTGATACGAACGAGATCTCCAACGCGATATTTAATCTTTCGCGTTCGTTTCTTTAATATGTTGTTTTTCCAACGACGTGATATATTTTCACGTGCGATACGGGCGTTTTCTCTCGTTACTACCGTAGTACCTACTGCATTCTCGTAGACGTGTGACGCGTGTGATTGTAAGCATGTACAACGTCCTGTAGAACATCAACGTAGCATCGCGTATTTTTATGCATGAAATAACGCCACATTCGCTCCTTCAATGTTCTGTTGAAGCGCTCGACAACGGCGGCTTTAATGTCCGGATTGCGTGTTACTCGAAAACGAATATCGTTTTCTTTAAGGAATTTTTGCATTGGGTGCGCGACAAATTCTTTACCTTTGTCTGTTTGTAAGTATACTGGTACTCGTCCTTCGCTTTTTGCTAGTAAGCGTTGAAAAGCTTTTATCACGCAGTTACTCGTTTTGTCACATAGCGGTTCTACCCAGACATATTTGCTTAATACATCGATAATTACTAACAGATAGGAATAACCGTCGTTGTAACTTTTTAGATTTCGGAGTTCGATCAAATCTGCCTCCCACACATCGTCAATGTTTGTCACGTTGTAATGCAATCTTGGAAATTTTCTGTGCAATGGCCTGTGCAACGTGTACGCGTCTTGCGATTCGAGCCAGCGTACGACTTCTCCCCGTGAGAAATTCGGTTTAACGGCGCGAGTTAGATTATCCACCGCCGAATAACTCGCATAATTCGACGGATCGTAGTATAGTTTTTCAAACGTCATCGTTATCTCAATTTTTTCCAGCCGAGCAACCGGCTTTTCCCCGTTTGCAAAGATACGGGGGTATCGGTTATTCGTTTGCGAGAGAGAATCAGTGAGCTTCCCTCGTCTATTTCTTGTTCGTAATTTTTACGTTTTTCTCCCTCCTCGGGCTCTCGACGATACGATCGACGTGGAACTTGCTCTTTCGACGTAACAGGCGTAGAACTCGCGCGCGGACGAAGTTTTACGATATTTACAGCATCCGCGTGCGCGGACAATAAACTTTTATTTCTCACCAGTGCAGAAGGTATGTTCAGCACACGGAGTAATCGTGCAAACTGATTTCTACCCACTGCTTTCACGGTTTTTCTCTCGCGCATTGCTTCGTTTATTAAGTCAGCGATATTCGAATCTTTCACGACGTTACCATCTATAGTCACGATTCCGTGCTCGTCCCAACTAAGTTTATCGGGCACAGCTTTTCGAAGCAAATGTTTCATCAGTAAGTGTGCATGCTTACGATAAAATTTCGGTACGCTTTCCATTATTTCTTCGATGCTTTTTATCATATGATTATGCTCGCTCGAAATTTTGAAATTTTTCGCTGTAATATCTGTGTTACTATTGGAATGTGATGGCGGTGGTATATCGGATGTTCGCGTGAGACCGTAAAAAACGTCATTGTTCGTCGTCTCGTTATCATCGGAGGCATCTCGTGTAGCGTTGTCTTCTGCATTTTCGTTTTCGTTACGTACGTCTTTCTGTCTTCGCGTTTCTCGGATAAACCGTAGGTATCTCCATAATGCCTCTCTGTACATTTTCCACCTCTCGCTTTCGTCACGAGGCCATCTGGAATTGAGAATACGACTCATCTCCATATTGAGTCGTGTTAGATGAGTTCCCGGTTTGCGTTGTGTTATTAGAGCTCAAGGTGTTATCCGAATTTTGCGGTACTGCTATTTCTTTTGACTCTCCGTCAACGAACGATGTCGGATTCTGACGTAGCTGATGCTGCATTCTCTCCAGATTTTCCGTCGAAATTAAAACCATTTTTTTAGCCCTTTCCATAACGTTTTATCTCTACTATTTCGTTCCTTCGATAATTAGCAATAATAAGGTCGATAATATAGGTCCGATAATATAGGGTAAAAATCCGCCTCGCTGCACCAACAGCTTTCTTCTATCCTTCCAATTACCGCGTTTTGCAACGACGCGACGCAAAGCTTTTTTGTATTTGGTTTAACCGGTAAACCGGCTTTTTTTCACGCTGTTCGAGCGAGACGTTACCTTTGAGTGTATTAAAAACACATTCACAGATGAAACGAATTAATTTTTCGTCAGCGCTACGTAAGAAGATTGTGCGTTGATTTTTGTTCAAATGATAGAGCGCCGCGGGGAGACAGGCGTTTCTCTTACCGATCGAATGTGTGGCGATTTTCGTCGCTCTGTGCGATTTCGCGTCACCTACCCTCATCGCGAGAACAATCTACGACTGATACACGCGATTAGCCGTACTCAACTTTTATACGTATCCTCTGGAAAACGATTTACGCGGCACGTAGACGTAATGAAACGTATCCTCGGGAAAAATACACGTTCGAAATCGATACTCGTCTGGAGTTGATTGTTTCAGATCGAGCAACAAATACCCGTGAGGCCTCGATGTGGCGTCGTAGTACGCCTCTTCTAGAAATTTCGAATCTTCGGGATAGACTTGACGGGCTAAATGACGAATTTGAGCACGATCACGTGGATTTTTGAAAACGACGATGTAATTTGTGTTAAGCGATATATCGCGCTGTCCACGCCCCTGGTGGAATAGGTTCTGCCAGATAAGAATAACACTGAAATTCTTGTGATGACTGCCTTTGGTAAAAAGATCCACGATCGCGTCGAACGACGACGATTCTCTCATAAGATCGTCGATTATCACTAATTTAGGAGAAAGCGGATTGTTCGAGTAATCTTCCGGACGGGGTAATCCCTCGCGAAATTCAATTATATTCTTCTTCTTTGCCGTTTTAGTATTGGTGCATCCCCAGGGCTGTTCTTTTACACGCGTATCGTATTGTAATCGACGATAGGCTTCTTGCCATTCCGCGTAATAAAACAAAATTCTCTCGAAGCTCACGTCGGACATGAGAGATAAATGCCTGAGAAAAGCCTTCACAAAGACCGTCTTCCCACAACCAGTCGGTCCGCATACGATCGATGTCCAAGGATGTTTCCAACGCACGTCCATTTTACGAAATGAGCAAACGATCTTCGTGCGCGACTTCAAAAGCAAAAAGGAAAAACGTCATTTCGTTGATTTCTAGAACACATAAAAAAAAAATAAAAACTTTAAGAGAAGATAAGCTGATCAACGCGACGACAGGGACCCCTTCGCGCGGCGGACGAGTGCTCGTGCCAGCGTACCCCCCGCGTGAGCTTGTCAGCAGAGAGCACCGCGGCTGGCAAAAAGCTGATCTCACCGCGGCGCGACGCGCATAAGCTTATCTTCGCGCGCGTCAAAGAGATTTGCGATCGGCGTATATTTCTATCGTTAAATGAGTACGCGACATCGTCGTCGATAAGCTTACCGATGCCATTACCGCGATGTCGCTGCGAGGGGAAAGCTTTTCGAAATCGGAAAGGTTGGTTAGAATTAAGTAATAAATCACCTCTTGTTTTCCTTCAACTAAAAAAATATTTTTATTCGATATTTTTCTCAAAAAAAGAGGAAAGGAGAAAAGGAAACATATGTAATTAAAAATTTTTTTGTTTATATTTTTGCTAACTCGTATATAAAATTATCTTACATAAAATTTAATTATTTTTAGAAACAATATAATACATTTTTATTATAAT